TTGGAGAATCAACTACATCCAAACAAACAATTAAGGTTTAGTGTGAACCATTTTACCTGAAAACTCAATTAAAGTTTTATTTGAATATAATTATAACAAAAGTTTTCATAAATAAAATCACACTGCTAGTCAAAATAGGGAGAAACGCAGTTGAAATTTTATCAAAGGAAACGATGAGACTGAGACGATATCCAACTTGACCAACAGATACTAAACTTTTCTCCCTAATTAGTAGAACTAAATTCTGGCTCCTCTGGCTCCCGCTTAATCTTAACACCAAGAGATGACTCCCCAACAGCTGACGATGTTGCGTCATCATGAACAACCAGCTGCATTTCCGGCTCGTTCTCACCTGCACTCTCCTCGGCCTCAATATTCACAACTTCCCTTCTCCTCTGCCGCTGCAGCGTCCCTGCTGCCTCCATAGGCCAAACCGGGGATCCATGGGCGATGTGGTGGCTGGCACGGAGACGCACATTTCTGCTCCTCTCCATCCGCCTCCTTTTCCTCTGGGCAGCAGTCTCATGCGCGTAGTGCGACAGAGTGTGCGCTGCAAATCGCCTAGATGTAGGGAGGACACGCATGCATCTAGGCCAGGGGCACTTGTATGGACCATATTTCCTGCTAGGAAGGCTATGTGTCCTTCCATCACGTCCAACGACATTGTGATCAGATTGATCAACCCCTCCAGCTGGCTGGCTAGGCTCTCCATTCACTTGGTTGCTATTAGCATGAACCCTCATCCCAGGCCTATGACCCCTAGCGGCCTCATCAGGTTTTTGTTGATCTCTGCGATCATTAGGGACATAGACGCTGACAGCTTCAGGATTGAGAACTTCTCTAGGTGCTAGTGGCAAAGACTGGTCATCCCTGGGTGGCACTTCATTAAGATCAAATTTTTGGACCAGTGCTTGTCGAAAGGACGGACCATCTATGTCAGGCATAGGATTGAGAAATTGCTGGCTGGGTATTGATTGTGTTTGGGGGATATTTCTCATATAATTATAAGGATTATCATCATCGCGATTAGCCATAGCCAACATAAGGCGGTTGGCAGCGGCATTAGAGACCTGATAAACATCATCATAGGCTCTGGTGGAGCTAATACCAGAAGGCTGCAGAAAGTGGTCCGCAACAGAAGTTGGGGTAAGAAGCCCAGTTGTTTTGATCTCTGTCACAGAGATCTCAGTCAGACCGGGATGGTTGTACTGATGACGATCAACCAGAGTTTGAAAATGAACCCTTGGCAATCCAAGGTAAGGTGCTCTGATCCCGGTGGTAAAGGCAAGCTGGCCACTTCTAGGGCCAACGGGCAATTTTTGATGCTGATTAGTTTGCAATAGGTTGGTTGGAGGGAGGAAGTCGGTGGTGAGACTCTGACTGGGACTATGAGGTTGAGAGCTAATCAACCCATTGATAGTACCAATAAGGGAGGCAGACCTGAAGTCTGCGCTGGGAGAATGGATGTTAGATTGATCAAAAGCCTCGTCAGTGAGGTCAAACCCATTTGAGTTGGAGAAGGAAGATTTTGAATCAATAGTCATGGGAGAGTTTGGAGATGGAAATTGAGAGCAAAGGGGAGAAATAGGTGCAAAAACTACAAGGGCAGAAAGGAGTGAAGAAACAAGGAGGATTTGGTCCTTTTTTATAATGTTGCAGGTCACCTAACGAGCAAGAAACAAAGAGGCTAGGTTTGGCTTTTGAAAGTGGGGCAAAAAGGACTCATAAATTCGTGAGTCAGCAAAATCTGGCAAATTGGAAAAAAAAACTGGCAAGAAAAGCATTAAAAACACACCTCCAATTATTACTTTTCTGTTTTTATATTATCATGGTGTACTTTTTCTGTCATTTACCTAGCTATGGAATGTAATTCATGAATTTCAGCGACGTCCTACTCTTTGGTCGATTCTTCTCGAGTCTGAAGGGGGAGAAAATATTAGATTTGATAACGTTTACAATATCTTAAAAAAAAAATAAAAATTCTGGCTTAGTTTGTTTATAATTTATAAACCATACAACGAGATAGTTCCATTAAATTTTCTTTTATGATTAGGAGAATTGTTTCTCCCATTTCCTTGATCTGCTTTTCTCCATTTTTATCGAGTGAAAAAATAATTTATAGTCTCCTTTAGTGATTCAAATTATATAACTTCTTTGTTTCTGAAAGAGAATTTTTGCTATTGTAGTTGTGAGATAAATTAGAAAGTGAGTTTTTGAGGGAATTTGAAAATTTTCTTTGGAGGGACAATATATGAATAATGAGATGCAGATGATTTTTTATATAAATAAATAAATAAATATATAATATCACAATTCACAAATCTTAATATGGTGAAAAAAGTTAATAATTAAATGATATATAAAGTTTTATATATAAAAAAGACGTACAAAAAGAGTTTTTCAATAATTTTCCTTAAATATACATAGTATCATTTGGCCGTTAATTATCGTTATGAGAACATTTAATAACGTCGTCATTATAACCTATCACTTAGTTTTTTTTTTTATTTTATCCGTTAACGCTTTATTAAATTGTACAAAAAGAGTTTCTCAATAATTTTCCTTAGAGATATATAGTATCATTTGGTCGTTAATTATCGTTATGACAACATCTAGCGGCGCTGCCAATTATAATCTATCACTTTAGTTATTTTGATTTTATCCATTAACTCTCTATTAAAATAAAAATAAAATATTTATAGGATCATTAAAATAATTTAGTTTTAAAAGTTTAAAAATTTAAAAATTAATAAACTAAAAAGAATTAATAAAAAATTTTCTTACATACACTAAAACAATATTAAATATCTATAATTAAATCAAACGATTAGTTTAATTTAAAAAAAGAATTCTAACTAAAATTGAAGAAAATCTCTTAACTAAATTAAGATAGAAAGTTCAAAAGATTAGAAAAATACAGCTAAGAAATTTTTCTTAATTTCAATTAGATTTCTTTCTTTATATTGAGTTAGTTACTTGATTTGATTGTAGATTTTTAATACTGTTCTCTTATATATGGTGGAATAAAGAACAAAATTTAATATTGAATAAGAAATTATGTATTTGTATATAAATTGAAAACCAATAAAAAGAAAAAAAATTAACAAAAAAATTATTTTAAACAAAATTTATTAGTCTTTAATGAATCAATTTATAGCGGCTGATGAAGTAATATAAATTGCTATCGATTGAAGGACAAAATGAACATAATTAGTGAAAGAATACTACCAAAATAGGCAAAGCAATACATAAAAAATATATATATATATAAAAGAAGAAGAGGAGGAAGAAGAAGCAAAGCAAAAAGTTATTAATAAATATTATGTTAAACGAAGATATTAAATTTTTTTATTTAATTAATGTTTATTTTTTCACTTGTCATATTATCTATATATACTTTTCTTAACTTTAATCTTCAATAATAAAAAATAACTAAAATGATAATAAAACGTTTCACGATAAAATATAATAAAAATAAAACTTAGGGAGCAAACTCCTTACTTTTCAAAAGATTAGGGAGGGGGGGCCTGTCCCTCTTAGGCACCTAACCTGCCAATGTTGGAAGGTTATATGTTTGGTAATATAAATATTTAAATTGTTGATATTTTGATTTTAAATTAATAGATATTAACTCGATTAAATTCATATTGGTATAACAAATTACTTAGTTGATAAGAGATTTATCCCTTATCTTCTTACCTTATTAATCAAAGTTCAATTTCTTTTTATAGAGGTTGGTAAAAAGATAATTTCCATTGAATTGAGTTAAATTAATTAAATTTGGGCATTAACGACTTGTTGGTCTGGTTCAAGTGAAAAGACTTTGATTCTCTTTAAGCAAGATCTTGAGTTCGAGTCTTATAAATGGAAAAACATGCATTGGGAGAGCTTCTCCCTAATGGGATTCGATGCGGTTCGATTTCGAATTAGTCGCGACTCAATGTGATTACTAGATATTGATAGGTTAAAAAAAAAAAAAAAAAAAAATGAACTAGTTTTGAGCTGGGCTTGAAATTGAACTGTTTTCTCCTTTAACCTAAACATAGCCCCAGTCCAATTCTGAATTAATTCCTTCCCCCACTACTCTCTGGCAGTCCAGATTGTAAAAAAAAAAAAACTGGGCCGTGGAATGGAAACTCCCGTAGATACTTCAAAGAAGGCGGACTGAGATACGAGTTTTGCAATTAGGGTGGGCTGCCTCAGCCCAAAATGTGATTGGGAGTTGGGACGGGCCTTTTCCAAAGTCAAATCGAAGTCAAAACCCTCCAACACACAGCAGTAGGGTTTTTGCAGTTCTGCGGGAACTGAATGGGGATGACAAACCTGAAGAAGAAATCCAATTCTCTGCAACCTTAATTCCTGAAAATTGAGGTAATGATGACATTTGATTCGTTTTCTCCATGAAACCCTTTGTATGATTTCGGCTTCGATATGCTTTTGTGCAGATTTCGCCTCAGTTTTTAAGGTGAATTTTCCCTAAAGTATAGTCCTCTGCAATTTCATCTTCAACATGGGTGCGAAAATGAAAGGTTTTTTCTCTCTTTTGACGCATATTTTACTATTTTGGATAAGCTTTTTTTCCTCTGGGCATTTGGGTATTTTCATTGCTCTGATAATTTATTGATGATCCCAGCCAAGGTTAGAGATGATCCAGTCGTTGATGGTATGGATGAAGAAGACCGAAAAAGTGGAAAGACGTCTAAGTCTAAGAAAGTAACAAAGGAGCACAAGGACCAGCTGCAAAGTCTACAAGAAAAGGTTAGAGCTTTATTCTTCTCAAGTTTTCTTTTTTTCTTAGTTATGTTTTTTAACTTGCATTTCTGAATTCGATGATAATTTTTTATTTGATTTTTATATATCAAGTGTTGTTGATCTTAATTTGCTACTACTTGCCAATTGCTTATTTCATGGATAATAACTCTTCCCTGGTTTTTATTTTTTTATTTTTTTGGTTGCTGCTGTAGTTTTTGGTAAAGTTACTAACAAATTTTTTTTGCAGGATCCTGAGTTCTATAAGTACTTGCAAGAGCATGACCAGGAACTTCTAGAATTCAATGATGAAGATGTCGAGGTGAGTGTAAAAATGCTTGGTCATGTTCCTAAGCATCTAATGGTTGTAGATTGTGTGATTAATCCATTGTTATCTCTTGCAGGATGATGCCAATATTGACACCGAAGATGACGATGTCGATGTGAGTGTGCAAATTATGTTCATGTTTTGAATGCCTCTAATGTTTGCATGAATTGAGTTGCAATTGAATCTGTTGCAATCTTTTGCAGGAAAATGTCAATTTCGACATGGAAGATGAAGAAATGCAAGAGATGGAAGATGAAGAAATGCAAGAGATGGAAGATGAAGAAATGCAATCAGCACAGGAAACTTTGGAGGATGATGTTTTCAAGGAGGAGAAACCATCCAAAAATGTCATAACTACTGAAATGGTTGATTCCTGGTGTAAATCAATCCAAGAGGATGGAAAACTAAGTGCAGTTCGTTCCCTCATGAGGGCCTTCAGGACTGCTTGCCACTATGGTGATGATGCAGGGGATGACTCATCAACAAAGTTTAGCACCATGTCCAGTAGAGTCTTTAATAAAATAATGGTCTTTGTGCTAAATGAAATGGACGGAATTCTCCGCAAATTGTTGAAACTTCCTGCTTCTGGTGGAAAGAAAGAAACCATATCTGAGCTTATGAGCACAAAACAATGGAAGACTCATAATCACTTACTGAAGTCATATTTTGGAAATGCTCTACATGTTCTGAACCAAATGACTGACACAGAAATGATAGCATTCACTTTACGGCGTCTAAAATATTCAGCTGTATTTTTGGCTGCTTTCCCAAGCCTTTTAAGGAAATACATTAAGGTATGCCTGAAAATACATGCCATTTCTTGAAATTCACTACCTTTGTTGCAGTTATTAAGTTCACTAATAGATGGCCAGTTGTGTGATCAAATGATTTAGCGATTTTGGATTTCAAATGCTTTTGTATTTCCTATTTTCCTGTTGGTGTGGACTAAGTTGTGTTTTACAATGCTTCATTTGGGGTGAAATGTATAATAGTGTAGCAGAATTGTCTTTATAAAGGGCAGGTAACCAGCTCAAGTGCAGGTTGCAGTCCCTGTAGTTGTTTATTTTCTTTTCATTTTTAAATGTTTTTAGTTAACTGGTAAAATGGAAGTAAATCTCATCCATTCCCCTTTCAGGTTGCACTGCACTTTTGGGGTACAGGAGGTGGTGCTCTTCCTGTTGTCTCTTTTCTATTTCTTAGAGATCTCTGCATTCGGCTAGGAACTGATTGTTTGGACGAATGCTTCAAAGGAATATACAAAACATATGTTTTGAACTGCCACTTTGTGAATACAGCAAAACTACAACATATCCAGTTCCTGGGAAATTGTGTTACAGAACTCCTAAGGGTAGACCTTCCAACTGCATATCAGCATGCATTTGTTTTCATCCGGCAATTGGCAATGCTTTTGCGGGATGCACTTAATATGAAAACTAAGGTATTATTTACATTTGTGGTTTAAAAAATTTTGTACTACTGCAATTTAAAAGTAGTCATATGCTCATGCTTATGCTTTAGGCATTCTATTTGATGAAAATTATAGTCCTTTTCAAAATTTCTCGTGTATCTCAAATTCTTCATTTCCTCTCATCATTATCATCATTTCCCACTAAACCATGCCTCGTATCTGACTGCAGGAAGCATTCCGCAAGGTCTACGAGTGGAAGTTCATGAATTGTCTTGAACTTTGGACTAGTGCTATATGTGCTTATGGCTCAGAACCTGATCTTAAGCCACTTGCCTATCCATTGACCCAAATTATTTCCGGAGTTGCCCGTTTAGTTCCAACTGCTCGATATTTTCCACTCAGATTGAGATGTGTTAGAATGCTCAACTGGATTTCTGCATCTACGGGTACCTTTATACCAGTGTCTAATCTCCTTCTGGACATGCTGGAAATGAAGGAATTAAACAGACCTCCCACTGGAGGTGTTGGAAAAGCTGTTGATTTGCGTACAATTCTAAAGGTAGTTTGTGACATGGTAGATTTTGTCTTAGTTCATATATCTTTCTTCTTTTTTTTTCTTTTATTGGTACACAGTTCATAGTTCATGAGAATTGGACAAATTTCCTCTGTTAGGTAAGCAAGCCTACCTTGAAGACTCGAGCCTTTCAGGAGGCATGTGTGATTTCTGTGATTGAAGAACTTTCTGAACATTTGGCTCAATGGAGCTATTCTGTTGCTTTCTTTGAGTCATCATTTATTCCAGCAGTGAGGCTGCGCACCTTCTGCAAAACTACAAAAGTTGAGAGATTCAGAAAAGAAATGAGACACCTTATTCGTCAGGTATATGCTATTGATTGATGACCAGATGTACTCTCTATGATCATTTTGGTTTTCAAAAGGAACTTTATGCTAATTTTATCATCTGTTATGCATGTTACTGCTTCCATCTTATACACTTAACCAAGCTTTTAGTGCATGCTACTGATTGTTTTATCCCTTTCACTTGTCAGATTGAGGCCAACTCTGAGTTCATTAATGAAAGGCGTATGTCAATAACTTTTCTACCAAATGATTCTGCAGCAAAATCTTTTCTTGAGGTCTGATTTTATTATTTGTGTTGTGTTCTTAGAACTATCCAGTTCAAATGCCTTATTTTCATCATTTAAAAGAGTGTTTATTTGTCATAGGATGAGAAGAAGTTAGGGACCAGTCCTCTATCTAAATATGTTGCAACTTTGCGCCAAAGAGCACAACAAAGGAGGGACTCATTGATGGAATCCAGGTTTACACTTGTGTTCTTTGTTGGGTTTGTTGTTATTGTTATATTGAATGTTGCCATCTTTTATATTGCTGTTTCATGACATGCACATATCTTTCAGTGTTCTTGTGGGGGAAAAGTCTTCTGTATTTGAGAGTAAAATGGGTAAGATACCAGAAAGTGATGAAGAAGATGATAACAGGAATGACGAAGGTGCTGCTGTTTTCAGTTCTTCCTGGTTACCAGGAAGTGATTCCAAGTATGGCTTATCACATTCACCTCTCCCTCTCATTTGATTGTCAGTGCTCTGTTTACTGTACTAGTGGATTCCATTGCTGATGGATTGCCAGGTGTAACTGACACCCTTGTCGTCTTTGCAGGGCCAAGCCTCCTAAAGAGGAGAAGAAGAAGAAGAAGAAGAAAAAGAAGAGAAAAATGGATGAGGAGGAAGAGGTAGCCGATGATGATGATGTTGTGGAAGACTTGGTGCTAAGTTCTGATGAAGATGGATCCCCCGGCAACTCTTCAGGGGAAGATGACAAGACAGAGCAGGTCCGTGCTAGACAGCAGAGGAAGAAACAAACCCCCCCAAATTCCTCCAAGAAATTTCACACAAGAAAGTTCAAGAAGAGGAAGAAAGTAAATTGATGAGACCCCGAACGATTTGTGCTGATCACTGGATCATCCAACATGATCCTGTACGTTTTGTTAATTTTTTTTTCATATTAATATTAATGCCGATTTCTTGGATTTATTTTTTTCAATAATTAAATTCTTGAGCTGGGACTCATTACGAGCCAATTTTCTCAATGTGTTCATAGACTCCAGAATTGGTGTGATAACACTGACAAATTGGTATATATCACTATATCAGAAAAGGTACTGTGAACATTCAGTTACTATTTACATTAATGTTTAGATAATTTAAATAAAAAAACTTCCTTACCTTAACCTTTCAAATCATGTGGGTGCCCTCTAGGTATGGTAATCCGAGTTTTACAGCAGATTGCAGAAGTTAGCTTCTTTATTGATGTTGAGTTTCAGACTTTATGCAATGCCTGTGGAATCAAGTATTGAAACGAACAACAACAAGAGATGCTGGTGAAAACAGAGTCTGGGAATTGAATTGCAGATGGTAAGAAGAAACTGATCAACGGAATAAAAGAAAGGATTGCAGAAGGGAACATATGATAATTTAGTTTTGTTATATATTTTCTAAACTTAGATGGCTGCCTTTTGTTTGTGTTGGTCGACATCTGAATGTTGGAATATTTTCTTGAATAATTGTGGAACCTTTTGATCAGCATTTATAAATATTTTATTGTTTTTGTCCGTATATTTATGGCTATTTGTTTCTCTTCTTCTAGTAGTAATCAATCCAGCAGTTTTTCCATTTTTAATAAGTACTCTTTTATTAAATAAAAAATATTTATTTAATACTCAATGAGGGGACGGCGGAAATTAAAAAAAAAATTACCAATTAAATTGCTGGGAATATTAAGTTGGTTCCACTAATTGTGAATAGGCCTTATAGTTCGGCGGTTTATAATGCAAGTCTGTGACTTAGTAGTCCTTAAGTCTTGAGTTTTACTTAAATTAACTTTTACTTAAATAATTAACACCTTTATAGAGAAAAAGTGTTGTTGTTTATGTGTTTGGGTTATTTTCTCTTGTTAAAAAAAAAATTATTTTGCTAATTACAGAATACATATAACGCATGATAAAGGCAGGATTGATTAATCAAACGAATATATACGAACAAGAAGATTAAGGATCAGAGGTATTTTTTTTTCATTTTTGCTAAAATGAAATCATGGTTCTATAACTCATGCTTGTTACTTTGCTTATGAAGTGATGTACTCGGCTAGACTTGTTTACGCTGAATAAGCTATTATTAACAATTATTAACAATTATCCATTAACTGAAAATCCCTGTTGACCTTAGTGTTAAAAATAAGTTTTGGGGTTAAATTTAAGAGTGAAAAAAGAAAAGCACAGAACTAATCCGTAATAACATGAAATTATAGGCATCCTGTTTCTGTCTTTTTGGCGCTTAAAATTTCATAATAACCTGCCCAAGATAAATGGGGGAGCAATATGCAGCAGATCAATTCGTAACAATGTATAGAGTCCACGTTTTATATTCATCTTCATCAATATGGCAAAAGCTCCATGCATCATTTTCAGTTCTATAGACCAAAATTGACAAAACACCAACAGAAGAAACCTAAAAAACTGATAGACAAGCCAAAATAACCAGAGGCTACAACAGGGAGTTTATTAGTCCTAACAGAATAAAAAGAAGAACAGGAACAAGGAACGGTGAACAAAATCATATGCCTGGCCTGCGCAATTCTTCTGCTCCATGTGCAAAATGGCACCTGTCCCCAAAGGTGCAGGATCCTTTTGCAAAGTTCTCGCAGATCTTAGTCTTATAGTTGTTTGCTGCAGCAGAGCCACCAGAAGAAGCATTCCTCATGGAATGTCCTGAGGGTGGGCCAACATTTACAATAAGCTCATGAACCATGGCACTGGCCTGCTTGATCTGATCAAATGTTCCTTCAAGTTCAATGTTCCTCAGGTTGGGATCTGATTCATGATCTCTTATGGACAGCTTAGCGCCTGTAACACGACAGATATGCTTTGAGTTCACACCATTCTTCCCAATAATAGCTCCAGCAAGTGATGCATCAATGCTGATCTTGGCAGTAGCAGATTTGCCAAAGCTGGCTGCTGGTCCTTGTGAGGGGGGCTCCATCCTGCCAGCCATCCGTCCCATACCACCACGATGATCTTCATAAGCAGGACCAGTTGGTTTACCCAGCTCCCACTCACCATGAGCAAAGTGGCATTTATCTCCAAACTTGCAACCTTCTGGTGTGTTGTACTTATTGCATAATCGGGTTTTCATAGCTGGAGGTGAAGCACCATCGGGAAAAGATGGCGGAACTGAATTTCTGGCGACTGGGGGAAGAGCTGGATTGGTACCAAGCATCTGGGAAGCAGCTTTGAAGCCGCCAGGAACATAGTGCAAGAAGTGACATCCTTCACCAAATGGGCACCCAGAAGTACTGCAAAATAAACGTAGCCCAAGAGTGTAAGGTCAATATCCATCTAAATAAATCAATTGAGAAATGGAATTTTAATTCTTTATGGAGCTAAATGCAAGATTTCTAGTCTTGATTTTATAGAACTTTAATTGAACACCAAAATCCTTCAAACAAAAGCAGACAGGAATAAGGTTACCCAATAATACTAGCTTAATCAATAAAAATAAATAAATATCCCATTAGCAATAGGAATTCTATTGCCAATGCTGTTGATGTAGAGAGCAACCTCTACCACCGCTTTTGATGCCAATTGAATGGTAGAAGTCTTATTTTATTTTCTCCAACAGGGTATGAAATTATGACTATAGTAAGCACTATAAGATGGAGAAAATTTGCATCCTGCATGGTTGCTTTCTGTTTACATAGATATAGTCCAGCAAGTAGTTATCCAACTGATCGCCAAGAAGTCAACAATTTCCCTTCCATAGTCATTTTTTATCATATTATAGCAGAAGAGCTCAATTCATTACCTGTATCACCACTTTAAGTTTTAAATTCATTAGTCAAAATCATATAAATCTTGCTTCAAAGGATTTATCTATAATAAAATTTTATTTGCAAATTGTAAATATTAGCAATAGATAGATGAACTGCATTTAGGCTATTTATTTTAGATAGGTTTAGATTTGAACCTGAAAAACTTTGTGCATGGCTTCGATTTGCTTCCTAGACCAGTTGAAAATGACTCCAATTCTGTTGCAGAACATTAATTAATTAATTTCAGTTATAATTTTCAGTGATTTATATTGCTTTTTGGACTTAAAAGAAAAATTAAATATCATGTTACTGTTTCTCATCATTACAGCAAAAGATAAAATAAGCTACATAATTTTTATTTGAAGAAAAGAGTGAATTGCCTATCTTTCTAACAAATTAAACAGGGATGAGCAATCCCACAATTATGTCCAAGAGAACCTCTGTTTTCCTCCAGAAAATTTGGAAAAGAATAAAAGAATCATATCTAAACCATATGTGTTGCATTCCTTTGTTCCCAGCAAAAACATACAACTCAACTAAGTCTTCAAACGTTACTGTATAACGGAAGTTGAGCCATTTTTTTCAGGAACTAAACTTGAAGTTAATTAAAAATTTATATAGTTCTTTCCTTTTCCTAAATTTTCTTCGTGAGAATGGAGAAAGCAGAGTAGAGTTATATCTCATATTCACGTCATATTGAAATCTCAAACTCTTTCAAGAATTACAGATGTAATCATGTAACAGAGAAACTTTCCAAAATTTAAAATTCAACCACAAATAATGAAAATGCATAACAGCTGAAACAAAAGATACACAAAAAGTTTATCTAACAGAAGCAGTAGATTGTTAGCATTGGCCAGACTAAGAACACTATCAAAATGATAGGAAAAACAAAGACTTGGCAATCCATCCTCAGCCTAGTTTGCAGAAAGCAACAAAGAAGCATCACAACGCAAAAGGGGAGAACTACTGAATATCGTTATTGACATAAGCTTTCAAGTTCATCAAACACTGAATGCAAAAAAGAACAGACTTTTTTTTTTTTTTCCATGCCTAGAAAGAAAATGAATAGGAATGAAAGAGGAAACTTTCAAGAATGAATCCTGTTTCAAAACAAAAGCTCAAATACCCATACCAGGCTGAGCTGAAAAATTTTGCTTTTTCCTATATTTTTACCGAAACACAATCAAAGCCAATGTTCATAGCTTAATTCAACTTGTTTTCTGGCACTTCGTCATGAACCAAACACTTTCTCCCATCAAGCCACATAATTTTTAACTTCTTAACTTTCTCATTACTTCAATCCAACTAAAACTAGAGACAATTCAACAAAACGTTCCTCGAAACCCTAGAACCACTCTGTATTTAGAAATTTCCACAAACTCGCATCGAGTAATACAACGAAACATAAACAAAATGGATAAGAACAGTAAATTCGTACCTTGCTTGTATTTCTTCGAGCCGCCATTGCCGTTTAAGGCAGATTCCAGCCTCCCTCTCTTGCGTCCACCACCGAAGTCCATTAGCGAATACCGAGATCCAGAGAACACGAAGAAGAAGAGAAAGTGCAAGAAAGTAATTTAAAGGAAAAAAGTGGGAAAATCCAAAGAGAAACAAGGGAGAAAGGGGAAATTAGGGTTCCAAGGAAGAAGAAAAGGAAAGGGCGGGGATGGTGAATAAGAAAGCGGAATTGAAAATTAGGTTAAAAAAAAAAAAAAAGAGTCGCGCTTGAAGTTAAGATGGAAAAAAGAAGAGGGATTTATCCGAAAGAACTGTGGAGTAAGGGGAAGATCACGTGATGTTCACGTGTTATTCGCAACGTTAGCATTTTTTATCTTACGTCATCCTTATCTATCTCGAAGGCTAACGTCATAATTTTAAAGGGGCAAAATTCTGAAAATGTCCGAGAAAAAAATTAGATAAAAATGTTAATTTTGTAATTTTTTATTTAAAAATGTAAATTTTGTAAATTTTTAATTTTTTAAAATATGTTAATTTTATATTTTTTAATTAAAGATTAATTAAATAATAATATTAACATGATAAATATAAAATTAATATTTTAAAAAATAAAATTAATATTTTTAAATTAAAAATTTATTTAATTTATATTTTTAGAACACATATTAAAGTGTGTTAGATATATTTTTAATTATTATTGATCTGTTAGTTCGAATGAAAAAAATTCAATCCTCCATAAATAAAATTTTGAATTCGAGTTTTGTAAATAAAAAAATAAATATCGGGAGAATTTCTCTTGCATAGGGTCCAATACAGTTCCATTCTGATTTCATTGAAAACTTAACGTAATTATTGGATTTCGAAAACTTAATACTAAAAAATATATATTTTTGTAAATTTACATTATAAAAATAAAATAAAATTTTTAATTTATTAATTATTCAATTAAATTACTTAATATTAATATTAAAATTAATATTAATTTATATATTTTTTATATATTTTTTATATATTTTTTTATAATAAAAAAATACTGTTGATATGTAATGATTAACAAAATTTATATTTTTAAACAATAAAATTACAAAATTAACATCTTATCTGCAACTTTTCTCAGGAAAGACTCATGGCCCGAAGAATGAAAGACAGGCCCGTATTGAAAGGTAATAACACAATAGAAGCCGTCATACTTATACCCAATTATTTTAGCGGCCAATTTTTTTAAAGCCCAGTAGCCCTAAGAAAGAAAGACAGGCCCGTTTTAAAAGTTACACCTTAATACTAACCGTTTATACATTACCTAATGAGCTTTTGGGCTTTGCAGCAATGCCCAAAGGAATCAAAGACCCAATTTTCCTCTTTTGAGCCTGGAGGCCCCATTTTTCCTGCTTCCCTTCCTTTTTCTGCCCCATTTTTCCTCCTTGAGAACCATGAAAAGTAGAAGTAATTGATTTTAGGTTAAACGCTCACTTTGGTCCCTAAACTATTGTATAAATCTAAATCAGTACTTAAACTAAAAAAATCTCTAATTTGATCCTTAAATTATTGTACAGACCTTCTATTTGGTCCCTATTGTTTACCAATTTGTCCAAGTTGATTATTTCGTACAAAAAACAAATGATATGTATGTTATTTAATGACGAAAAACAGTAACTTAACGGTCACGTCTTACATTGATAACAAGATTTGTCAATTAGTTTTTGTACGAAAAGACTAACTTAAGATAAATTGGTAAACAATAGGGATGAAATTAGGGTTCATACAATAGTTTATGGATCAAATCAAGAATTTTTTTAGTTTAAGGACCAAATCAGAAGTCTGTCTAATAGTTCAGGACCAAATTGAAGATTTGACCTTGATTTCAAGGTTTTTAAAACCGGACCGGATCGACCGGTTGAACCGATCGGACCGGTACTTGGTAATGAAAACGGCTCGATTCATACAAAAAAACCGTTTGAGGTCAAAACTGGTCAAAACCAATTAAAACCGATCAAAAACCATTCAAAACCGATCAAAACCGTTCAAAACCGATCAAAACCGATAAAACCGATGGAACCAGTAGAACCAGAAAAACCACCGGTTCAATTTCTCATGCAATTTTCTTTTTAGTTTTTCCAATTTCACCCTCACCATTCTTTTCTTATACCGATTTTAACCCTTAATTTTAATGAAATTACAAAATTACTTATCCCTCTCATCAAATTTCTCTTGTTATTTGAACCGACCAGTTCACCAGTAAACCGATTGAACCGATCAAACTAAAAACCGAACCTAAAAATGGTTCAATGACCGGTCCGATTTTAAAAACCTTGCTTGATTTTATTACACGCATTATGCTGAGCTTTCATGGATTCTCGAAGAAATTCTACTCTGTTAAAGGGCGCTAATGTACTATCCCAATTTCATATCAACGATATCACCGTGAATAAAATAATATCTCAAAAAATTTTATATTTCATACTAAGGCATTATGTCGTGATATAAAATATCATTTGAATTGTACATGATACATTAATTATTTTTATATAGATTGAGAGAGGAGAGTAGTTCCCCAACAACTCTAGTATAATGGTAAGATTGACCTCTAAAGGACATAGTTTTTCACCTACACTTACATATATAAGATGAATTAGGCTTTATATCACAAGCCATAACATTCCCATAAACAACAAAACTACACCTCTAGGCAATACATTTATAATTGAAAAAATAAAAATGTTATAATTATAATGTCACATGATATTATAATTTATAATATAATATATCGTTATTAATTAATTTTTTTATTTAAAATCTATCTGTCATATTATATGTATCTATTTATTTAATAATACGTTACATTTCATTTAATATTATATAAAATTGTAAACTTACTCATTATATTATAATATTATCATTAAGAATATGAATTTTTATATATTAGAAGATTTAAATTCCTACTTTTGCTAGACAAGAACTTAGAAAACGCTAGAATTTAATTATCATGATCACAGGCCTTCTAGATGGCTATCACAAGGTCAACCATTCCACTATACACTGCACCTGGGTTCTCATTTAATTTCCATCATTTTCCAATTTTCATATCCTTTAATATGATAAGGTGATATTCAATTGCTTTCTCACCACAAGCTCTGAGAATCTATTGTGGCCACCGGATGTTTTGATGACTCATTAATAATCTATCAAATTTGTTTTGAATTGCTGCTTTCAATATAGGAGAAAAATGAAGACTATGTTTTTGGGTAATGATTAAGGGACTGACATTGACTACCATACACAGAGACTACTGAATGAACTACCCTAATGAGAAGGTCTATGTTGTTTCTTTTTCACATTCAATGTCTTCCAAAGTTGAAGGGAGAAAATTATGCAATTTGGAAGAACCTCAAGGTGCGATGAGGAGAGATAGTCTTCAAAATGACTTGATAGAAACGTGTAAGCATAGGACTTCTCGTTTTTTTAGTGCTCAAAGCATTGTCATGTATCAAAATAATAATAATAATAATAATAGTAAGAGAAACCTGTAAAATATAATATGAATGACTTCACTTATTGTCTAATTAATTTTAGGGTAAATACTCCCACATGATCTGATTTTCCCTCACTATATGCTTCAGTATTCCAGGCCTTTCTTGTATCTGGGGAAGGTGGATTCCATGCATGTCATCTTTTGGGGCAGAAAATACCTCCCTGAATTCTGCCCATCTGTTGAAGAATGTCCTAGAACCCACTCAATTGCTAGTTTGTCATTATGGTCACGTAATTGACAAGCTCTATGAACAGAAGTTCACCCCCACATGTGTATTAATAAATCTAAACAAGCAAGCCGATTGCTAAAGCAAAGGCAAAGTCATTTTTATTACATCATAAGTTGATTAATAATTAGATCAAGACAACATGATTATTATTTTTCTATCAAGATTTCATGAACATAAAAAGATGATGGTGATTGAACTTAGGCCTTGGGTGTGCGTGTGATGATCATATACTGTTGCATATAAGTCATTGGCATTATAGTTTATGGAGCATTTTTTTTGTGAGAGGGTGACACTGGTTTCCTTTTTACTTGGAATTTATTGTTGAAGAGTCTTATTGCTTTCTTTTTCCACAGTAGCATGTCCCCATCACCATGGATATTGCATGGTGATAAGGTTCCATTCCACGCATGATGTGAAAACACTATAATTGTTAAGATATGTGGAAGCTGGTGGTGGTGGGTGAAGCAAAGGAGGACACTTATTTTGTCCACACTTGAATTTTTCTTTGTAGATCTCCTCCTATCATTAATTCTCTATCATATAAGAAAAACGATTAAGTCGTGACCTATTTGCTTGTAAGAAGTCCAGATCCTCCTCCATAAAGAACTCTGAAGTTGCCCTTTACGCAAGAAAGTGTTGATACTTCCGTTGCGGGGAATTGTGATTACCATATAATAGTGCTGACACTCAAAAGCAAAGTGTTTGCAAACTTCCAAAAGTTCAAGGAATAATTCAATATAGTTTAAATACGGTGGTTGAGATCTGAGAAGTATCATCAATAATCAAACCCCATTAAATTAATTTCATACATGTGGAGGAGGATAATGTCAAATTGTTCATGAATTGACACTTCCTATCGTTTTCACGGTGCCATACAAGCTAGGTTGCATCACACACCATTAGCAGAGGTCTGTGTCCAGTTGCAAACACACTCAGCGAGGAGGGTGACTGTTCTGGATGTTAAAATTGGGATATATAATTTGTCCATATAATTGTATTTTATCTGTCAATTTTTAGGTCGGTACATTGGATATATTTTGTCATCTTAGATTTATTGACCCCAGCAAATTGTCATCTAATAACTGCATCTACTTGAAAGAAGTTTGTCGATTTTCCTCCACTTGCTTCTCCAGTCTCTCTTGGTTGCTAGTACTCTAAGCTAGTCCTAACTTTGGTCAATTAAGCCTCTTGAGAGTAATTTTTTAGTTCAAATTGACCCATGCATGACAAATAAAGTTTGACATTAGTTCTTTTCTTCTTTTTTTTTTTTTTTGTCGACTTGATTTTATTTTAAATTACAATAACTTAACTATTACTTATTGCAAGGAGGTGATTTTAGTCACCACCATTTATTTACTTTTTGAGTAAATAGTCACCGTCAAATTTTGTCTGGCTCAATATGTGGGTTGAGGGGCTTATTTCTTAGAACAAAAAATCTAAGAACTTAATTGACCAAAGCCTAAAAGTATGATATTTTTCATTCAGTAAAAAAAGAAAGGGGCAAGACATTTTTCACATTTTCGATGGCTTTTCCCTGTAGAAGATCATTATGGGAAGTGTAAAATCTTAGACTTAAAAAAATCCGCTTTCAGAGACCAACTGGCAAGAGCATCATACTAAAATATCAATTCAACCACAAAAAAGGGTCAGAAACGTGATGAGAAAACAAAATGAAACCAGTAATCAATGAAAAACCATTATTGTCATGCATGTGCACCAAATCCTAAAGGCTTCAACAAAAGATAACCAAATTCACCAATCTAGAAGATTGATTTCACCTTTAGAACCTAACAAAGCAATCATCCCCCACAAGTGACAAAACAGAGGTCATGCTTTGCCTAGAGAAATGGATCACTGCTGATATAACTTATTCAAACTTTAGGAAGAAACTAGATCACCTATTTAGGACGCTAAAGGTCTTAAACTCTTCTAAGAGCATCGTCTTCTTGGCCTTGCATTTCAGTTGCCTTCCCATCATCCTCAAGGTTGATGCACTTGTACCGTTTAGCACAGAACAAGTAAACCACAAAATCAAGAGCTGCCAGTGCTGCGATGAGGAAGTAGAACCTGTCCATATGGCCTTCGTTCAAGTCATTAGGGATCCAGCCAGGGCTGCTTCCTCTGGCTGTGATTGCCATAACCATGTTGACCAGCATGCTACTCATATAGTTGCCAAAAGAAATTGAAGCCATGCAGAGGGAGCTTCCAAAGCTTTTAATCCCATCTGGAGCTTGTCCATTGAAGAACTCCAATTGACCAACATACATGAAAACTTCAGAAGCGCCAACTAGTACATATTGTGGAACCTGCCAAAATATGCTTAAAGAGCTTATCTTTTGATCAGGAGCAACATATTTGAGTCTTTGCATCTCAGTTATACCGGCAGCAACCATTGCTAACATTCCAATGATGAGGCCAATTCCCATTCTTTGAAGCTCAGTCAATCCTTTAGGATTACCACTTAATCGTCCAGCTAAAGGCACAAGAATTTGGCGATAGATTCCAGTGCAAATGAGAACACTGCAGATATCAAAAGCAGACATGCTGGCAGCTGGCAGGTGAAAGTTTCCTAGGGTGGAGGACATTACATTTCCTTGCTCAACAAATAGGGAAGCCATTTGCGTGAAGACGACAGAGTAAATTATAGTACAGGCCCAAATAGGTAACATTTTTAGGACGCATTTGGCTTCTTCAACCTGAGTTACAGTGCAAAGCCTCCATGAATCTGCTGGACCACACAAATCATTATCTGTTACTGTAGCTGCCTTGTCCAAGAACCTGTCCAATGTCAAAGTAATTTAAGGATAAGTTAAGCAGAGTCAAAATATTCTAAAATCTTCAGATAGAAAGATCAATACTTACACAAAATCATCACTGTGAAGGATCTTTCTACTCCCTTTGATTGCAGATTCTGGTCCATCAACCTCATACAGGTCACCTACATTAGCTGGTATAAAATCCCATTTCCTAAAAGCAGCAACAAATACTTGAGCAACACGAGGCAAAGGATTGCCACAGGGTTTTATGTACCTATACCTTGGTGTCCCCAACAAGAATGACACCAAGGCAATTACAGCTGAAGCTAATGAAACCAAGAAACCTAGTGTCCATCTCCCAGTATCCTCATAATAGACCAATAATGTGTTTGAGAAAAGCGAACCAACGTTAAGTGCAAAGTAAAAGTAACTGAAAAATGCTTCTTTTGAGATCCTTTCCTTGGGATGCAGCTCATCAAATTGGTCTGCCCCAAATGTGGCTATAGTTGGTTGATGCCCTCCATACCCAAAGGCCACAAGATACATCGATATGTAGAAGATTGCTATGCCAGCAGGTGATGAGGCGCTGCAGCGTACTTCTCCATCCCCACATCCCTCAGGTTTTATCAAGAAAACCCAAGAGGAAATTGACAACAGACCTAGACCCTGTTAGATAACATTTATAGAGTCAAATTAAAATTGAGTCAGCAATTTAGAAGTGATTGAAATGAAATGAAGTAAGTAAACAACTAGAGACAGATTGAATGTAAAAATATTACCAGCACAAGTATTAGCTGAAAGACTGCACATGTAAAATAGCGACCCCAATATGAATCACTAAGGAATGCCCCAATCAATGAACACATGTAAACTGTTCCAGTCCACTTGCTAACGCTATTGGCAGCGGAAGCATTATCCTGGCCAAGAACTCTAGTTAAGAATAAAACCAAGTTCACTCCAACTCCAAAGAAAGCTAGCGTTGCTAGGCCTTGATTTGCTGCACCCAAAAGTTAAATTGATCTCACATGACTAAACTGTAACATGCTTGCTGAAAATCTAAGATATTGGGAGGGACCAAAAGTCTGCAAATTTTATGTACAAAGTGACTACCTAGCAAGAAACTGGCATATCTCCAACCTCCTGAGTTATTGCAGACAACTGAGCCATTGCTTTTGTTCGTACGAATCTTCTCCTCATCCTTGCTGTCATTTGTGTTCACAGCTCCAATCACTTCAGTGCTCATATTTTCTTCCCTCACCTATTAATATAATTATAAAAAAAATTAATGTATTTAATTCAATGAATACCATTACAATTCCAATAAATATAGTTCTGTTTGAGTTATAAGGACCAAACAAAAAAAAATACTCAGGTTTAAATGAGAAAATATGTCAATTTCAATGGCTAAAACTGCTTGGCTATTAAAAAAAGGGTGTTCCAACCATTTGGCCTACCAAATAGTTTAATGGTCAGTACTACAAGGTTCAAAATAGGGCTTAAAAAAATTAAAAGTACACCAAGTTTGATTTGGAAAAATGATAGATGCACAGAACGAAACTAAAATTGATTGTTGATCTTCACAGTCCTGAGATTCATGCTTGTTCTCAAGTGACTTTTCGTGTGTATGGAATGTGTATGTAGGTGGTAGGTCAATGCCATTTGGTCCATGACAGCTACATATATATGGGAAGACGACACAGCATGCTAAGGCAAAACTATGTGGAGCTCACAAAAAGACACTTGACATTTAAATTAACGCTTTGGCAAACTGTTTCTCAACAGAACTCTTTGTAATTCTAATAGTTTCCGAAACTTTGGCACTGATTCGGTAGTGAAGCTGATTGAATCCATACCGGCCATTGGAGGTTTCTTCTGTATAAACGGTAAATCAGTAAGACAGCAAGAGACTACAATCATGAGTTAAAGCATAGCATTATTAGAGTCGTTTATATCATGATTGTAAGACAAAGAACATGACTGGGGAGCTATTTCCCACAACTTGATAAACTTAAGTTTCAAAAATAGGACCATTGCAAAAGATAAGTAAACTAAAGATTAAACCACCAAACTAATAACTTACTTATCAGACCAAAGAAAGAAGAAGCTGGAAGGTGTTGTTGAAGAAGTTTGCTCAAGAGTAGTTTGAGAAGAACCCATTATATAGGAGAACATGCAAGTATGGAAAGGTAAGGGTCACTTTCAAACTTACGTACTCTTTGTTATTTAAGAAGAAATTTCTCTAAAAGATAAAAGAAAAATACTAGTGGAATAGAAGACAGGTCTTTTTGGAAGAGTCTGTACCACAAATTAGGTCATTTCTTCTATGAAAGCTTGGCCGGTAGTGGGATTTTGTTTAGATGTGAAAATGATATCGTTTCATTATTTCTTTCTATTTTCAAGTTTTTAAAATATTGATAATCACTCCTAAATTTCACCCTTAGACTGCTTAGATGTTTCTTGGAACAGATCTACGTCCCAATTGAGATTCAAACTAAGACATTAATTTAAATACTTAGAAGTGTTATTATTGTTTTAATTTCATAAAAATAAAAAATTTAATCCATAATGAGTGTGTTTATCAGCCATACCTTTAAAAAATTAAGAGAAAAAAAATTACTTTATTTCATTAAAACATCACAAAAAATAAAGACTAAAACACACTCTTTGTATCCCGCACTCAGTGGCCAAATGGCCACCCCCTTGCAAGGGACGTGCATGCGTAGGACTACAAAGACTTGGGATCAATCCCAAGTCCCCCCATTCCCCCTTCCCCCCAAGAAAAAAAGATTTTACACTGTTCAAAAAAAAAAAAAAAAAAGAAACACACTCGTTCTTGTTTAAGAATAAGTTATTTTATTCCCCATTTTTTCTGTTATACTTTAATAAAATGACTAATTTTGATGTGTTTTTACTCTATATAATTTAGCTGTTCGGCAGATGCTTTTCCCATCAGTTATTGCCCCAATCACATTCTGTTATTGCTTCTTTTATGCCACTCATTTTCATTAACAATATATGGCTTATATATGAAGAAGTCAATATAGGAAGGGATAATGTTAATGATATTGAATATTGTTCAAATAACGTCCAAAGGTTTGTGAGAGAAAGCAAAACAAATAGAAACCACTAAAATATCAACCATCTCATACATAATTCATGCAACGAATATGCTATATTTGTTAAGTGAAGAAAGATATACGTAACCACTTTTATCAACAAGTTTGTTTAATGTAGAAACAAGGAGCACAAACAAAGCTGGTCAAAACAATTGGAATTTCATTTATCAGACCCAGTGAAGTTAATGTCCTACTTATATACCACTCTGACATCTTTGAGTGGATGGAAAGATGAATTTGAAAAAAGATGAAAGTGATCACTTTTTGTATAACTTATTATCAGATGTACTAAGAAAAACATCTTAACTATAACTTTAATAAATAAGTTACTTATATTGAATTGATAATGACAAAGCATAAATCATCTACTAATTACAAAATTGCTTCTTAAATTAGAATAATACAAAAATGAAGAAATCCTACTTATCATAAAATTGCTTCTTAAATTAGAATAATATAAAAATGAAGAAACCCAGTGGAATAAGCACTTATGAGCTTAGAAAATTTTTGTCCGTATATCTAAGAGAGTTGATCAATCAAAAGACCCACTCCATATATCCGGCATGAATTCCCTACATACTTGATTAGCCCATTATTATACGCAACAGAACTAAAACGTCGGTCCAATATCCAACATTTCTAATAATCATTAATCAACCATGCTTACCCTCCACACACGGATTTACCATTTCCATACAAGGACAATAGTGAAGTATCAATCGGAATACCAAAATCTACTCTTTACTGACCTGTTACGGACCTTGGGGGTAGAGGGGGTTATGTATCAGGTTATAGAAATCGACTCCGGAGATGGAACGGAGTGTGGCTCCGGCGACGGTGAAGAACGTGTATCGATAGTCACCAGAGCGAAAGTAGGCCGGAAAATCAATGCAGTCGCCGGGAAGCGAGAAAATCCGTTGAAACCTTTTGTCATTTATATGGATTGAAAACGAGGAATCAGAGAGTATTTTGGATCTGGGACCAAACATACTACAACAATGGCTAGTTCTACTTAGACGAGAAGCAAATAATTCATCACGATGGTCGATGTAGACAACCTGTAATGTTTGCTTGAGGAAGATGGCGGGAGTGCTGGCAGTTGTTTATACTACTATGTTGGAATAGGAGCCGGAACGGTGGGATAAAAGATTTTCCTGATTAGGTTCTTCAAGTATCCACTCTCTAGGAGTATGGTTTTACACTTTTACGAGGAGGAGTGACATCCCTGCCTGTGACTAAAACTGAATTAATTAGGCATTAGTAACTTTTGAGAGTTCGGCCATGCATATTGATATATGTATAAAGTGCTAAATTTGAGTTATAAATATAGTTATTGGTTGTAGCTTTATGTCACTAACAATTTTAAGTTGTTCATAATTCATGTATTATGCATATGTGTGATTAATTGGGAAAAGTTTTACAGTTTAAAAAGACAAAAGAAAGTTTGTATAAAACCAATACAATGATTAAATACAAAAGTTTGGGCTCTTGGACATGAAATTGAGATTAATTCCAAGAGGCTGCCCAACAAGAAATTTTTTATAAATTTCAGATAGAAACCCATTTTATTTTTTTTATTATTAATAGATTGAGTTAAAATTAAATCTCTTTCACCAGATGTATTTGTATGATTTAGGAAATTCACACGGTAATTGAGATCGTTTAAGATTTGATTGATTTGCAAAGAAAAACTCAATAACGCATTCCTCTGGCTTATTGGTGACCACTGCAGCCCAATAAAACTATCAGGATTGCATTCCTGACCAATGGTCGAAATTTACCAAGGGCATATATTAACTTAACTTCTAATTTTTAATCATTTTTCCTGTCAAAAAAAAATTAAAACAAAATCCTTAAAAAAAGTACATTAGGCACTTTTTCCTTTCATGTTTAAAATGAAAGAAAATATTTGTTTCCTTTTTTTTTTTCTTTTTTGTAAGTCTTTCGCTTATATTTTGCTATATAATTTTCTTGTCGGCATTTTAGTTACGTACTAAATAAGTCATTAATTCCACGATATCCAATTTGTGTCCACCTATCTACTCCTTTAGTACTAGTAATTCCTTCTTTTTTTTTTCTTTTTTAATTTGGCTCATCCTTGATTCCCTGTAAATTAGAACCCTAATTAATTAACCTCTCATTCTGACTTTTCTGTATCCCAATCTGTGTACAGGAAAAAATTAACAAAAATTTACTAGAAATAAATGAAAATTAATATATTTTTGAGTAATTAAAAGTTCATATATTTGAGTTGGTTAATCAGAAAATTACAACCAACCAACTCATTCTAATAGAACAACACAAAAAAATAAAAATAAAAATAAAAATAAAACCTGAAGCCTTGCAATATTTGTTTATATTTTTAGTTCAAAACAATTACTAGAAGTTTTTATTGTCTAAATCAAGAACAATTTTCACTCGTTAAAACAGTTTTAACTTACTAACCCCGTCTCACAAACTGTATATCCAGCATGTAATAATATTGTTATTTTCGAATTTTATCAACAAAAGATTTTAATTTGTTTTAAAAACTAATTTTGTTTTCTTAACCAAAAAAAAAGTCTGTTGATCACCTTTCTTTCCATATGAAAAACCTGCCCTTTTCATGTACGTATTTATTAATTGAAAGATTTTCTGCTTTGATCTCTCCTGATTATTCTGCATCTTTGATCTTCTGGCTCAAATTACAATCTCTGAAACCCTATTTTAAGAAACCTAACTTGCACATTGCAACTCTGCATTCCCTTCAATCCCTTTTTGTTTTCTTTTTGAAACCCTTAGCATGGAAGAAGCAGATGCATCGAGCATGGTTTCAAACGCCAAGACGAACGGGCAATCGGAACCATCTTATTCTGATACCAGCAACCATGCATCTCGCCCCAACAAGCGAAGCAGACATGATAAAAAAGGCGTTGTATTAGGGCGGTTCAAGGGGGTGGTGCCACATAACAATGGCAGTTGGGGTGCACAGATTTACGCCAACCACCAGAGGATTTGGCTGGGGACGTTCAGGTCGGACAAGGAAGCCGCCACGGCCTACGACAGCGCCGCCATCAAGCTCCGAAGCGGCGACTCCCCCCGCAATTTTCCCTGGACGGAAGAGAGCACCCTGGAGCTTGATTTTCAGAACCGCTACAGTACTGATGACGTCCTGAGAATGATCCGGGACGGATCATATCCCTCCAGGCTTGCCGATTTTCTCCAAAGTATTCAAAAGAAAAAAATTACGATTGAATCTCGCGCACGACGCAATGAGAGTTTTCCATGCATCCTACTTTTTCAAAAGGAACTAACCCCGAGCGACGTGGGAAGTCTTAACAGACTCGTGATTCCCAAGAAATATGCTTTGAAGTACTTTCCTGGTTACATAGAAAACGAGGAACTGTTCCTGAAGGAGCAGGAAGAGGCGAGGGACATGGAGCTTGTTTTCTACGACAAGGAGATGAGGATTTGGAAATTTCGGTACAGTTACTGGAAAAGTAGCCAGAGCTTCGTGTTGACGAGGGGTTGGATTAAGTTTGTG